AAACGCATTGTGACCGCTCACAAGCAGATATAATGAAAATAACGTTTCAAAAATATAATATAGATGCTCAATTCATCTAACCTAAAATTGTATTAGCCACAAAATAAAAGTGTTAATATAGCATACAAATGAATATTTTATAAAAAATTACCTTAATTTAGAAAAATGTAAGAGCAAAATGTTAAATAAGCACGTTATATCGTAATCCAAATGTAGGCTATATTCTCACTTGGACTATAAATTGTCGTTAAAGACGGTATATATGTATAATAAATCTTGTAGGTGATCTATACTGATTGGACAAATCATCTTCAGACCCAATGGGTGATTGACAATAATCACTTTGGTCTACCCATATACACCATTATTGTGCCGGAACATTTTTTAACAGTAACAATAAATAATACTTCAGGGTATAACTTCTTCAGACTGTTTACTTCTAATATAAACTTCCCTTACTATAATTTCATAACACTAGGTGAAACCCGTCGAAATCGACGGTTACTTTCAAGGCTTACGTTAATTCATCTAACTGCGCTAAATTGAGTGAAATGTACATGTATAATATTTTGAGCATTTAGCATTGTTTAAAGAGTAATAAGTGTAAAATTAATAATGATATTAATTGCGTTAGTTGCCAAATTCGGTTGATCATTCAATGATTAAAATATTTCCTATACTGTACGTCACCGGAGTTATTATTAGTATTTTACTGTATATGGTAACTCTTCCTTTGGAAGAACCTTTAAATAGTATTAAAATCGTATTGGTGGATCTTTTGTAACTAAACACTTCCGTGATTTCATCAGTGTAATATTATTTTATTTGAAAAAAAAAAAAAATTTTGGGAAGACATATTCTAACTTCAAAGGGAGGTATATCTGTTACGGTGTAAGTTTCATTTTTCCTTCGTCACGTCGCGTCAGTTCATATCGTACTTCTGTGCCAATGAATGAACCCCCTAGAATAGTTTTGAGAAATTGATTGTGGGGTTACTGTTAAAGCTGGAATTCCTTGACATGGGGGATGTCAGTTAGTTGTCTCAGCGTTACCAATAACATAAAGTCGTCAATATAATATCTCTACGGAATGTTAGGTGTAGTAGAATACTTGAAGTGAAGTTGGCTTTTATCTTGAACTGTTAGGGGCCTCCTCGTTTATATGGTCGTGCGGCTTCATTGGAGCAAATGACATAGCAATTGGACATTTCCAAAAAACAAAAATACTGTAAATTGGCTGTTACGTATATATTGACGTTTACATATTGTATTGTTGTCTTATGTGATCTAGTTTAAAAGGAATATGACCTTTCTGTCATGAGAGTAGCTATGCTTAAGTAGTATTCTCTCTTTGTACCATATTTTACAGCCAAAATGTGTTATTTTCAATAATATTATCAACCCAGTGTGCCAAAGTCCGTAACATAGGCAGGTGCAAATAATTTGTCAAGATGGGTAACATTTTGGGCAAGGTTTCTATGTTTGGATTTTATTAGATACGATAAGAGCAGATATTTCTACATAAATATTTGATATGTGTAGAATAATATGATAAAATGTAGGCAAAAGTGGTGAAAAAGGCAGACACCAACCCGTACAATAGATATAAGATAGTTCAAAAAGAAATAATTTAAGAATTGCTTTGATAAAAGGATTTTCCACTGATTTCGTAATGGAACGTTATATTGCAAAACATGCCATGATAAAGAAGAAAATCAATTTTAAAATCCGAAAATAACATTGCAAATACTTATTTGGTAGAATTCAATTAACCCCCAATAAATATGTGTTGTTTGAAATACAATTTAAAAATGACAGCTGTTTCATTAAAAAGTATTATTCACATGGCCAAAATGTAAACAACTCTGTGGAGGGATCTTTAAAGGCTTCTGGGGTAGAGTCCTAAAGGATTTTTCTTAGTTTTTCTTTTGATAACTCATCTACAGACCAAGACCTTTCTTTTGACACCTCTACCAAGTTTCTACGCCCAGCCGTTCTCTAAAATTAGTGGGGACAAAGTTTCCAATTAAATATTTAGATTCCCCCATGTAAATCTTAAGGGAGAAACTCCAACTTTGATGGCCTGTGTGGCAAAGCCCGAGGACTTTTATTACACGAATTGGTGAAAGGGGGCGTCTACACAAAAAAAATACTTTATTTTGACACGTTGTTTGTAAAAATCCGTCCATTATTAACGGAGGAGTAGTGGTTTGTAGAAATCGCCTTCACGTATTATATATAAGGATTCGTTGAATTCTTAATAGATAAAGATTTTGTTCAATTATCTTGCCTAATGATTAATAATAGTTTTAACAGGTGTTAAATGACTTCATTTTTATTTAGCTATCGTTCTTCCAACCGTGGTTTTCAAAAGTTATACATAATTTTGGGTTTTCTCACACAACACCTATGATTACGAATAAGATTTTTAAGAAATTTTGAATTTTTTAAACTTACTAATTTTTGTTATTACCGAATTTCCCTAAAGGGAAGTAGCTATTACCGTTGATCTCAGATTTACTTCTTCATTTTGATGTCCCCAGAGGCCAAAAATACTATTTGTTCAACATTATGTCAACAACATATTATTTCATTTATTTTTTAAGTTTATGTATATAAAGATATATATATATATATATATATATATATATACAGGGTGAGTTTTAATTGTCCCCCCCCCCAACTTTTTTCTACATTTTTTCAGATATCAATCCCAGAACACTTCCAAACGTTGTTGGGTAGTAAGTACTTCATTTTGACAAGGTGATCATTTCCGGCCGCCATCTTGGATCCGCCATATTGGATGCAAAATTTTTTTTTCAAATGTAAAGGTGGGGTTGTGACCCATTATTTCGAACTACATTTTTACCCTGATTACAATGCCGCAAACCGTTTTTAAAAATCTTGATTCATTCTAAAGTTACGAGGGCTTTTTAAAACTTGATTTTTAGCCCATTTTAACATTGTGCATTTACAAACTAAGACCATAATCCCAAAATAGTGCTAGATAATGATAAGTATACACTACCAGTAATTGTCCACCTATTTTCACTTGGTTATGACTGATGTATTTTTTTCGGCCGCCATCTTGGATCCGCCATTTTGAAATGTGATAAATTATTTTAAATATGAAGGGGGTGTTGTGACCCATTATTTCGAACTACTTTTTAAAGCTGAACTCAATTCCATAATTCGTTTTTCATTTTCATTTTTTGATTTTGAAATATTGACATTTTTAACACAAAAATTTCAATATTTCATAAATTAAACTTGATAACAAAAAATGGATTGCGGCATTGAGTTTAGCTTAAAAAAGTAGTTCAAAATGATGGGTCACAACACCCCCTTCATATTTAAAATAATTTATCACATTTCAAAATGGCGGATCCAAGATGGCGGCCGAAAAAAATACATCAGTCATAACCAAGTGAAAATAGGTGGACAATTACTGGTAGTGTATACTTATCATTATCTAGCACTATTTTGGGATTATGGTCTTAGTTTGTAAATGCACAATGTTAAAATGGGCTAAAAATAAAGTTTTAAAAAGCCCTCGTAACTTTAGAATGAATCAAGATTTTTAAAAACGGTTTGCGGCATTGTAATCAGGGTAAAAATGTAGTTCGAAATAATGGGTCACAACCCCACCTTTACATTTGAAAAAAAAATTTTGCATCCAATATGGCGGATCCAAGATGGCGGCCGGAAATGACCACCTTGTCAAAATGAAGTACTTACTACCCAACAATGTTTGGAAGTGGTCTGGGATTGATATTTGAAAAAATGTAGAAAAAAGTTGGGGGGGGGGACAATTAAAACTCACCCTGTATATATATATATATATGGTTTTACGGAGTGCTTTGTAGGATAAAAATTGGGTTTTCTCATTTTTAACCACCAAAACACAAAATTTTCCAATTTCTCCCTAGACCATTAAATGGTCTTTTAAAATTTTTAAAAGAGCTAAAAAGACAAATAATTTAGTATACTGCAGTATTTCGCGGTTATTGGTTACGGGGAAAATTCGAGAAAACGTAAATTTAAATTCCCATGTTATTCTTAAGGAGAATATTGTAAAATGTTGTAGTTTGCTTGTTTATGAATATATTTTGATCAAACATGGCAAATTTATTTATTTTATACTAAGCTATTAATATTTTACAAAAAATACACTTTATTAGTTTCCTTCTAGCAGCAAACCTAGGTACTCGTTTAACCTAATATTATTTAAATAAATTTAATTGTATATCAATTCAGGAAAATGGAAATTCGCTTAGTCTGCAGGTTTGCTGTGGAGGGGGTATTAAGTTGTAGATAACGAATCTTACTTGTTGAGTTGTTAAACTCGAAAGCGTTAAAACATTATGACTCTTTTAAGTATTTGTGTCACATGTCCAGAAATGTTTCAAGCTGTGTACTTGGCTGCACGTACTTTTTTACGAATTTATTATTGATAACCCGGAAAGATAAAAAATCACTTAGTACCTGTTACCTAAAGCTCACTATAGAGAATTAAGGAAAATTTTGATTTTGAGAACCGGTTTGTTCTAAATGGGATTTCGGGGAAAGCTCAACACCGGAAATCAAGGGAGATGTTAAAGCCAGGGGGTCCACTGATTCTCCGTGGGGAAAATTTTAAGTAATCCTTTTTTTTAACTGTTCTAAACAACATGTAACGAAGGGTTAAATACCTTTAAATATTGTGTCATACAGTAACACATGTACAAGTATTATATCAATCAACTAAATTTCAGAAATTTTGGGGGGCCAAAAATTGTGCCGGCGTAGAAACACACAAAACGTCAAAATAAACAGGTCCGGAACACCAAACTACCCATTTTCAGTCCGGATATTCAGAATACTGGCGGAGATATCAATTAAAGTGGAGTGTGTAGCCTAGTTGTCTGGGTCAGAGGGGGTTGCCCCCTCTCGTCCCCCGTCCCCCTGACCCCCGCCGGTTCTACAGGTGGATCAGCCAGATCGCATTCTGTGTCTGTCTGTGTAACCGTGTGTTGTCGCACCGCCTCGTGCTCCTATTTTCTGGAATATTTCTACCAGGTACCCCACATGTTTACATTACTTATAGGTTATAAAAAATAATATTAAAAATCGTTAGTTTGACAATTAAAAAAAAAAATTCTTAAGTATGTTAACAAGGATAAACTCTTGTCATAAGTTGTGTGACCATTTCTGATTGACAGTGAGTTACGTTATCGTATTTGTAGGGGGTTAGTCAGTTAAGAATATTACCTATCAATTCAAAAAGATTATCACCATTAATTTTTTTTATTTTAATCAATAGGTCAGTGATATGCGGCTAAATAGTGCAAAGTGAGGAACAGCATCCTAATATTTTCTTGTATTTTACTACCCTTAATTGTGTAAAAAACCAGTAGGGGCACTCAAAAACGTGATTTACTTATAGTCAGTTTTAATACCACATAAAATTCTTGAAATATCTGTTATCAAATTTGTTGCCTCCTGCATAAATTGTTGACGTTATACGTTTAGTAAAATGTTGTATACACTGATCCTGTTTGCCTCAGTTTCTAATTACTGATAATGTCTACTAAATTAAATAAGATCCTCAAGCACAATATCACAAATCTACAGTAATAAGTTAGTTCTATAGTAGCGCGCACATTGTATACATTTCTACGTGTTTGTTTTCGTTCTAAATGCATAATAAAATGAGTTAGCTACGTCATGAATTGATAGAAAGTAATTTTTAACATTTTTATTTATATTTATTATTAAAATATTGAGAACATTTAAGAATGGCACCATTAGAAATGCAAACGATGTTGTTAGGAAACGAATTATTTTATTGGTTCGGGGAAAAGATTGTGGGAATAATTTTTAGATTCTATACTCTAGAGTTTTTATTTCAAAATACTTTTCCTATCGGTTCACCTGCTAACCTATATAAGATCACAAAAAGTATGGGCTGGGTTGAGATGCGGTTATTTGGTATAGTTTCTATTGTTATAACTAAAATGTATAGTTGATTTTTCAATTTTAATTAGTGGTAGGTAATTGTGTTTTCGATCCATGCCCAATATCACAATATATGCTGAATTATAGTTCATTTATGAGCTAGCAAGACTTTTATTCCTAAATATCAAATTGTAATAAGAGCGCGTGTTGTTTTCTCATTTGTGCTAACGTCGCTAGTCCGGCCTCCCAAACGTTAACTTTGCTCCACAAACCTTGTTTCTTTGATTTGAGTTGGGTAGTCATGGATATGATAAAGCAATGCTTCAATTAATTATACGATGCAAATTAATTATATTTAGAGTTGTTTATATTTGTTTTTATTATAGTCATAAAACATATGATTCCTAGTTGTTATAGTTTCTTACATTTAATCGTGTTTCATGTGGTGTTCGTTTTAAGCTCAGCCAAGGGTTGGAAGTAAATAATCTATGATTGTTTTTATTTTTGAGTAGAAAACTGTAACTATATCCTTACCCAAAAAGGGTGAAAAGCTTTTATAAACAAAACTAAGCCACACGATTATACACTAATCTTATAATCTATAACATAATCATAATTATGTGTTCAGAGTTACTAAAAAAAGGATAACAGTATTTGAAACTGTGTCGGTTACACAACAATAATTGTGTATATTATTGCATAAAACCTTATCGCGATTTGGTATGGTTGTAAATACAAATTATCGAGATAACTTTTTTTGGCAGCATTGTATTCTTTCGCATATAGTACTAAGAAATATTAACTTTTTATATTTTTTTAATCAAACTAATTCTACAGTCGTCTTTAAAATCACGAATATAGTTTTTAAATCCATTCCATTGAAGGTATCGCTCATTATAAATTACATAAAGTATTAACTACAAAGATTAATATTAATAATCATGCTATACGCAAGGGTGGTGGTTGAAATATAAACTTAAATACGTACGCAGAACATTAATTTACAATTTTCGATCGGTCAATTTGTAGCTTCACGTTACGCTCTTTCCAATGACACCAAAAATATGTCAATCGGTTCAGTAGTTTCGGAAGGGTAATTGTCACAAAAAACCTGCTTGTGTATGAAATAGATATAATGCTGATTAAATTTATTGCTACATCCTCTTTGTAAAATTATTATCATAATTAGTCGGAGGATTTGGACCAGGATCAGACCCCATTAGCTGTAGGTCAACGTATTTACCAATAAAATCAAGACAGTACAAATATTTGAAAGAATAGTTTAAGCTTCTTTTTAGAGTGAATATATTTGCAGCATCTTTGAGATAAAATAAATAACATCAGAAGGTTTACTTTCAAAAACTGTCCCATGGTCGATTAACAAATCACATTTTTTTAAACCGTCCAATTTATAAAGGCTCACACTTTAACTTTGAGTACCCTTCTCAACAAGAAATAATAATGGGGGACTGTCTGCTATAAGCAGAACAATTTTTTTAATAACTCTAGTTGAAAACAATTGTCTTATGTGATAACAACTCGACTCATTTTAGAGAAAATCTTCTATTTACAACTGTTCATAGATAAAAGTTTCAAAGATACAAGTATACAAATGGTTTTATTAAAATTATGTACGATTATATAAAATGTTCTTTGTATTACACAACATGTTAAAACAATGTTTACCTTTGTCATTGCAGGTGGATTGCTATTCGATTTAACCAGTCAAAAAATTTAATGTCAAACGAAAAATCATCAGCTTATCCTTTGATAGCTAATCTCACTTAAGTGTGTTGTGTTAGAACTCACTTTTACATGATGAAAAAAATTTTAATATTTAAATTAATGGTATCGTCAAACGTAATGATTACAGCAAAACGTGATACGCTACGTTCAGATGAAGTTTGACAAATAATTACTTTCATTCTTTAAGGTGTGTTTAAAAGCCGCAGTTTTACGATAAATATGTTTTAATTGGCCTTTTTACTTAACCTTTCATTAGCAGTTTCAATGTATAAAGTTATATTTTTTACATTTATATCAATCCTATGCACTAATTTGCAGATTCTTACGTTTTATGAATAGTTAATGTAGTATGGTTAACCACTAGATTAACAATGTTGAAGGGTTGGTAAAAGTGATGTGGTTATATAAAACAAAAGAATACATTTTTGTAATAGAAATTATGAGTTTTACAATCGAAAGTCTTTTGCAGCACCGACATAATATCTAAGGCAGTGAATTAAAGGGAATAATTTTACTTTATCAATTAGACAACATGAGCATGTTACACCATTTCAATTTAATTCGCAAGTGAAAAGTCCATTAGCTCAATTGTATAATTACTCTATTTTCTTAGTGCATTTTGTAAAACAAACTCTTATACAAAAGAAGCTGTACCTAATTAATTTACAGTTCTTAAAAAAAACTAACCATACCATAAAGAATAAGTAATTATTAACAAAAATATAACAAAACCCGACATTAATTAAATCTTGTTTAACTGGTGGCAATAAATAAAATAGCCTTATTGCATTTATGGTTTATAAGCTATGATCGATGAATTACCCAATCATTTCTTCCTTTTAAGGTTGTTACTTATTTTCAAAAACGATTTTCCAATCGATATTTTATGGTCTTTATTAAAAGTTAGGTGATTTGAATTACATTTGCGTGCTTTTAAACTTAGTGATGTTGTTAGCAAAAGATAACTTTTAGAGAACCGGCAGTAGAATATCGTTACATGGTGCCACCATAACCTAGCCTACCAACATCCAGCACGGCCCGGCACGTCCGTCATCCACATTCAAATTACAAGCTTTTATTGAATACGTGCCTGCTACGGTACGAAAGCGGCTGAACCGTACCGTACGGTCACCGTCCGTCCGCACCGTAGATAGACCCGGGGAAAGTAGCAGTGATTGGCAATCCCCTGCTCTACTTCGATTCGATTTTGCAAAGCTATTCACCGGAAATGAATGAACGTCTGTGAGAAGAAATGCGGATAATGTTGTGTATGATGTGGATGACGTATGTAAATTGAAGACTATATTTCTCCAGTCAGTCATAGTAGGAGGCTTTTACTTGTATGCGGGATTGTTAATTGAATAGTTTACAATGAAAGTAAAATATGTTCATTTTAAATTACATAGTTTAATCTAACAAAAACCAGGATAACATGTGTATTGTGTGAATCAACTTATCTGAATAACTTAAATCCTTATTATTACTGAATCGCGTTTGCTATACACTAATAGTAGACCTTACTAAAACCTTCCTAAGCAAATATTCATTTTTGTAATCATCACTTCCACTAACTGGTTTCTACCTAAAACTATGACAAAAATGTATAAGGAAGAATCCATAGTACATCAATATTGTATTTAGTACAGGAGTATTCAGCATTTCAATAAACACTGAATAAAACTTTGATATAGTGAAACCGTAATTTAGCAATAATAACGTGAATATGTGTAATTCATTCCACAACTACTATTCATCCGTATTCACGAAGTACACTTTCGTTTACGTGCGTTGCCATTATTGCGAGCTAATGTGTTCATTATTTTACAATTATCAATCACAAAATACAATAAAAACATTACAAAAAATTTTTCAAAAATTAAACATATTGTAATGTAACATTCAATGTTACATGTACCAGGAATATACGTAATCCACGACGGCCAGCTAAAACATAATGTATAATTTCCATTGTTTGACAAACATGCACTACTATTTAGATGTCAATCTTTGCTGTTTTAGCAAATTTCCTTACTGCAGCATACGTATTTTAACTTGTAGAAATAACTGGCTTTTATTTTCAAAATTAATTTTGAAAAGTGTTTTACTACATACCATCCCAAATACTCGTTTGAAAATAGATGTCTAATGTTTTAATAAAACTTGCTATTTCATTTAGTATTACCATTGACTATTGGTAGTATTCGTATCAATAGTCAAAGGTATAAGAGTGTATCTAGGCTGATTCGAATCGCAATGTATTTATTATCAGAGAAATTAATAAGGTTTCATAAAACAGTAGCCTATTGAAAATGACGAATTTTGGCTTTTTACGAGTAATTAACAGACGTTTCAGTAGGCAGTAAATTAAAGTATTA